TTTTGAGATGGAGGTTTTGTTCTTGTGTACCCAGTTGGAGTGCAATGGCACAGTCTCGGCTTGCTGCAACCTCAACCTCCCAGGTTCAAGCGATTCTCCTGCCTCAGCCTCCCAAGTAGCTGGGATTTCAGGCACCTGCCACCATACCTGGCTAATTTTTTTGTATTTTTAGTAGAGACAGGGTTTCACCATGTTGGCCAGTCTGGTCTCGAACTCCTGACCTCAGGTGATCTGCCTGCCTCGGCCTCCCAAAGTGCTGGGATTACAGGCGTGCGCCACCTACCTGGCCCATACCTTTCCAACTGAACTCCTCCTACCACGCCGAATGAGGAGTACTGAGGATTGAAACCCATCCATCATCACCTATTCAGCCTGAAGAACTTACAGAAGATGGATCTTCGTCCCTCTACTGCAACCCATAGGATTAGTGGTTCTCTTATAAAAAGGAAGGGAAGTGTCAGAGGCATGTGAACAGAGCAAGTCTATTTTGAATACGAGCTGAGTACAAGAAAGAGTGAGACTTACTGGGACTGCATTCACAGATGGTTAAGACATTCTAAGTCACAGGATGAGTAGGGAAGTTGCAGTAAGTACAGAGTCATGGCCGGGCATGGTGGCTCATGCCATGATAGTTTATAAATGCCATGGCAATGACAGGAAGTTACCCTATAGTCTAAAGAAGAAAGTGATCCTCCTCCTCGTTGCCTCTCATCAAGCTCTCCTCATCTCGCAACCAGCGGCCCTTGGGGCTGCTCTGTCTATGGTTGGTAGTTTTGGTGTAACGCAATGAAGCAGCTTACGCTTTATCTAGGCTGGCCTGGTTATTATTGTGTACTACTGAGACAGAGTATCGCTCTGTCACCCAGGCTTTGGAGTGTAGTGGCGTAGTCTCAGCTCCACTGCAACCTCTGCCTCCTGGGTTCATGTGTTCTCCTGCCTCCCGCCTCCTGAGTAGCTGGGACTACAGGTGCCCGCCACCACGCCTGGCTATTTTTTTGTATTTTTAGTGGAGACTGGGTTTCGCCGTGCTAGCCCAGGCTGGTCTCGATCTCCTGGCCTCGTGATCCTGCCTCGGCCTCCCAAAGTGCTGGGATTACAGGCGTGAGCCACTGCGCCCTGCGCCTGAATTCTTCCTAGTGTGAGATCCAAGAACCCTGTCTTGGGATCTGATCGAACCCTTTCCTGTAACAAGATTAGGCATCAGGAGAAACTGACACACGTGGATGATATAACAGATGCCTCAACGGATCCTGTGGGAACTGGAGCTGGAACTGCCACTTTAAGAGTTGTTGCAAAGCAGGCAAAGAGGCTAGACTTTTCTATCTCTGCATCAATCAGTGTTGGACATGGGCTCATTGAGGGCATATGACTTCAGTGATCTTTCTGACTTGAAGGGCATTGCCCAATGGGGGAGAGGCCAACTGTGGTATCCTAAGCAGTGATATTACCTGCAGCTAGTGCATGGACATGTGACTCCCAGGGAATCTGGATGGAGCACTATAGTATTCATTAAGCCCAGTAAAAGAAATATTATTTCACACAGATGTGCCCAGGACAGTGGTAAGGCCCACAGAGTTACACAAATCGTAATGGTAGCCTGAAGAACCTCATAAACTGTATGTTGTATTTTTAAAATTGCATGTGGTTTGTTTCCACCTACTAGAGCATAAGCTCTGGGAGGCAATAAACTATGTTTTGTTCACCACTGTTTCTCAGTGTCAAGTAGATTCTTTGAATGCATTCAATTGCAGGCTTGGGAAGTGTAGTAGGAGCATGAAGGCCTCATGTCAAGCCATGTCAGGGGACACAAGATGGAGCCTTCTCTAACCTATATGAGACTCGGCATAAAAAGGAAGTACAAGCACTCCAATGTGTGGGTTTCATTCCACAGTCCCATGATCTTTTTTTTTTTTTTTTTTTTTTGAGACGGAGTCTCGCTCTGTCGCCCAGGCTGGAGTGCAGTGGCGGGATCTCAAAGCTCTGCAAGCTCCCTCCCGGGTGCTGCCATTCTCCTGCCTCAGCCTCCCGAGTAGCTGGGACTACAGGCACCCGCCACCTTGCCCGGCTAGTTTTCTGTGTATTTTTGGTAGAGACGCGGGGTTTCACTGTGTTAGCCAGGATGGTCTCGATCTCCTGACCTTGTGATCCGCCCGTCTCGGCCTCCCAAAGTGCTGGGATTATAGGCTTGAGTCCACCGCGGCCTCAGTCTATGGTCTTTAACCTAGTCTCTCCAGATGCCTGTTGAGTTCTTCAAGCATCTAAATGGTTTGGGGAAAGGCTTCCAGGTTCTAAATAGAGATGCTTTGTGGGGTTAACAGTGGAGAGTCAGAAGATGTGGATTTGAATTCACTCAGCCATGAAATAGTTGTGTGATCTTGGGCTGGGCACAGTGGCTCACTTGTAATCCCAGCACTTTGGGAGGCCAAGAGGTGGATGCTAGAGGCCAGGAGTTTGAGTTCCAACCTGGCCAGCATGGTGAAACCCCGTCTTTCTTTTTTTTTTTTTTTTTTTTGAGACAGAGTCTCTCTCTGTCGCCAGGCTGGAGTACAGTGGCGCAATCTAAAAACCACTGCAACCTCTGCCTCCTGGTTCAAGCAATTCTCCTGCCTCAGCCTCCCGAGTAGCTGGGACTACAGGCACGCATCACCACGCCTGGCTAATTTTTTGTATTTTAGTAGAGATGGAGTTTCACCGTGCTGGCCAGGATAGTCTTGATCTCTGATCTCATGATCTGCTTGCCTCAGCTATAAGAAACCACGTCTTTGCAAAAAATATCCAAATTAGCCGAGTGTGGTGGACCTGTAGTCCTATTGACTGGGGAGGCTGAGGCAGAAAGAATCTTGACATTGAGGCAGGAGGTGCAGTGAACTGAATAGTGCCACTGCACTCAATCTGGCCTAGAGAAGAGACTCTGTCTCAAAAAAAAAAAAAAAAAAAAGAAAAAAAAATTGTGTGATCTTGGAGAGTTCTGAGGCCCACTGGCTTCACCTGTAGAATGGAAGCAATAGTACTACTTTGCAGAACTGACTTCAGGACTAAGAGATCTAATGTATATGTGAAGCAGAATTACTTCTTTGATTTGTCCAGGATAGGGAGGCTAGTCCTGTGATGAATGGGAATGAATGACAGAAGAGACAGATGTTGGGCAAACCCCAGGCTCTGTGCTCATAGCCTGCTGCCGGACACATTCTCCTGTTATCTCTCTGTTTCTAGCCTACACCGTGCACAGACAGTAGCTGCTGTTCCAGAATTGAGCTAATGGTTTTAAAGTCTGTTCCTTATCTTTGCTGGGGCAGGCAGTAAACATTGCAGTGGCAGTGTGCCTGTGCAGACAGAGGAGCAGTGACAGTGATAGAGTGTTTCCACCATGGTCGTCGCTCAGGCCCTGGCTGGAATCAGGGGCCACCTCCGGATCACGCAGCCTCCTGGCCCGGCAGTGCCACAGCAGAGTTTCTGGGTGTGTTTGTGCTCATGGTACGTAGGGTCACTGGAAAGGAAAGGAGAATGGGTGGGCAAGGATTCCTGGCTCCTTCTGCTGTCCTTATCTCTTTTCTCTTGGTATCCCCTTCCTCCACTTTCCCTAAGCGTTTCGTTTGTCTCTCACCTCTCCTAATCTCCTTTCCTCTCCTTCTTCATCTTTTATTCTTGTCACTTTTCTTCCCCTTTTCCCATATTCTTTCCCTTTCTTCTTCTTCCCTCCCCATTTCTTTTCCCTTCCCTCCTTCTGCTTTTCTCCTTCCCTTGGTTGTCTTCCGGTAACATTCATGTTCTTGGCTTCTCCTGGCCTTCTGACCTTTCTCCCTGCTGGTCTCCTGGGTTCCCTGTTCCTCATCTCTCCTCTTTCACCAGCTCCTCACCCAAGGAGCTGTGGCTGACTGTCACCAGTGGAGAAACCAAAGCAACTTACTGCCATGTTTCTGGCTGACTCTCTGGCCGTTGTGATAGCCATCTGCGTGGGTGTGGTAGCGTCTCAGAGTGAGGAGGGTGGGGTCTGGTCATCAGAGCAGGTGGGGCGTGCATGCGCGTGTCTGTCTGGTGATGGTGGAAACGCAAATCCTTCTCTGTGACATGGACATTCTCCTTGACTAGTGCCCCAGACTGGAATAAGCCTTTGGCTTACCAGCCACGTCCCCTGAGCGTGTCTGTCTGGTGATGGTGGAAACGCAAATCCTTCTGTGACTTGTGGACATTCTCTCCTTGACTAGTGCCCCAGACTGAGATAAGCCTTTAGCCCCACCAGCCCGTCCCCTTTCTGTATTTCTCCATCCTGTTTCCTCACACTAATGCTTGGCTCACCTAGACAGAAATCGAAGGCAGGGCACGAAGGGCAGGTGCTATCCTCTTGTGTCCCCCACCTGAATTCCTCTGGGGGCTCATCTCTGCTCAGGACCTCTCGTTTGTTCCCCAGATACACACTGCGTCGGTGTGCCTGGCTGGAGCCTTGAGACATAGTGTGTTGCTGTGGAAAAAGCAGACAGACCTAGGTTCCAACCTTGGATTCACAGTGTCTTCTTCTTCTTCTTCTTCTTTTTTTTTTTTTTTTTGAGATGGAGTTTCACTCTGTTGCCCAGGCTGGAGAGCAGTGATGTGGTCTCTGTTCACTGCAACCTCGGCCCTCTGGGTTCACACGATTCTCCTGCCTCAGCATCCCGAATAGCTGATTTTGCAGGTGCCTGTCACCACGCCTGGCTAATATTTGTGGTTTTAGAGGAAATGGAGTTTCACCATGTGGCCAGGCTGGTCTGGAATTCCTGACCTCAAGTGATCCACCGCCTCAGCCTCCCAAAGTGCTGGGATTACAGGCGTGAGCCACTGTGCCCGGCCCACAGTGTGACTTTGCTAAGTCGCTTAACATCCTGGAGCCTCAATTTGCTAAGCTGTGTGATGGGAATTATACTATCTGCCTTAAGAGCTGTAGGAAGGAGCAGCAGTGTTGTCTGGTGGCAATGCCTGGCAGTGACACTTGATAGATGCTGTTTTTCTTTCCTTGATCCTTGAAGGGGCCCACCTGAATCCAGCCTTCTCCCTGGCCATGTGCATCGTTGGACGCCTCCCCTGGGTCAAGCTCCCCATTTACATCTTAGTGCAGTTGCTGTCTGCTTTCTGTGCTTCAGGAGCCACCTACGTTCTCTACTATGGTGACAGAGGGAACAGAGGGAGCTGTGCCTTGGGAGCACCTGTGGGTGGCCAGGGGTGCCTCAGAATGGTTTTGGATGAATGAGCAAAGAGGGAAATCCTGGGTGTTCCCCTCCTCCACAGATGCCCTACAGAACTATACAGGTGGGAACCTGACAGTGACTGGCCCCAAGGAAACAGCCTCCATTTTTGCCACCTATCCTGCCCCCTATCTGTCCCTGAACAATGGCTTCCTGGATCAGGTAGGTGTGAGGGGGAGACCTGGGGACACAACTTTTGCCCCATTCCTCGGGACCCCAGCCTATTGTTCAGTCTCTGGGTGGAGTGTGGGTTGGGTCTATCTTGGCGCCCCCCACCATCCCCAACTGCCTGTGTGGCACAAAGCCAGATGACATGGAATATTTGGATGAGAGAGGGCAGACGGTGCACTTGGCAGCTGACAGGGAACCCTCTGCCTCTGTTGACTCCAAGGTTCTGGGCACCGGTATGCTGATGGTGGGGCTCTTAGCCATCCTGGACAGACGGAACAAGGGAGTCCCTGCGGGTCTGGAGCCTGTGGTGGTGGGGATGCTGATCCTGGCCATCGGGTTATCCATGGGTGCCAACTGTGGGTTTCCACTCAACCCTGCCCGGGACTTGGGCCCACGTCTCTTCACCTACGTGGCTGGCTGGGGTCCTGAAGTCTTCAGGTGGGAGACAGCCTCCCCTGGTGCTGGCCTCCACTCACCTTCCTCTGCTAAGGGCTCTGTCCCTAGGTCCACAGCACTCAGCCTTTAAATAGCTCTCTTGGCCTCTTAGGACAGTGTTCTTTCTCCAAGTCACATGCTCCCCCTTTCTCCCTTGTTTCCCTCCCAACTTTTCACTGAAACAGTAAGATTTAGAGGTTGTGTTCTTAGGCATGCCATATTACCTCCGTGCACATTAGTTACTTCAACAGCAAAATTAATATATTCAGATAATTCCCTAAGGCAAGAGGCTGGACCAAGCTCTCCTGGGGTTCCCTCTTCTAAATACTATGCTTTGGTGCCAAGGCAATCCTCTTCCTGGTGTCTACCACCCTGGGAACAACTTTAGGGCACTCTCTTGTTACTACCCCCTGTCCTTGGAGAGGGGGAGGCAAAGGGAGTCACTCCTGATACCTTCCCATTGTCCTTCTTTTGCAGTGCTGGTAATGGCTGGTGGTGGGTGCCTGTGCTGGCCCCTCTGGTGGGGGCCACCCTTGGCACAGCCACTTACCAGCTATTAGTGGCTCTGCACCACCCTGAGGACCCAGAGCCAGCTCAGGATCTGATGTCTGCCCAACACAAAGCCTCAGAGTTGGAAACTCCTGCCTCCGCTCAGAGGCTGGAGTGTAAGCTATGATTAGGACAACCCTTACTTCACTCATGGACCCTGGAGCCAGCCACTGACCCCGCCTGGGAGCAACAGTTATTCTTCCTCTTTGTTAATGTGCCAGAACCTGGGAGGTTTCTCTGTTTACCCATCTGGCATCCCTTCTTCCTAAACTAAGAAGGATCCTGGACAGGGAGAAGTGGAGGAGGATAAGGTACCAGGACTCAGGCTTCTCATTCCCTCCTTCCGCAAAGCGGTTTTCTGACCCTCAAGGCCTCTCGTAAAGTAGTTGCTGGAGGTAGCCGCTAGAGGGTGCACACCTGGCCGCTGGATGGGGACTGCTGCGGGCATCTGCAGGGTGGAGGGGGCCCCCATCCAGTGTAGGGCACAACCCTGGGGACTGCCCTCCGTAGCCTGTCCCGACTGCCGACTCCCATCTCGCATCGCCTCGGCGCCTCCCACTTTCACCCCCTCAGGGGCGCCTCCCCCAGAGGGTGTGGGGGGGCGTGTTAGGTGTAGGAAAGCCGCCTCCACCCAGGGGGCGTGGTGGGGGCGGAGGGCGGGCGAGAGGGCGGGCGGGCGGCGGAGCACAGAGAGCAAGGCGGGGAAACTGAGGCACCGTTCCTAGAAATCTCGGTGCTGTGTCGTTCATTCAAAGAGAGTTGAAAAACAGTGAAATGAGCCAGGGCGAGGAGGTAAGGTGAAGGAACCGAGGGCGGACGGCTCCGAGGTGCGAAAGTCTGGGGCTGAAGGCAACCTAGCGCTGGGGAAAATTCTGGTTGTTCACCACTTCTACAGCTCTCCTGCCGCTCCCTGCAGAGGATGCTCGTTTTGCAGAGAAGGCAGTGTTCCTCTATTCCCTTCTTCCGAATTAAAAAAAAAAAAACCCTCAGAACGATGTAGCCTCCCGAATTGTTTTTTCTTTTAAGATGCGGATGGTAGTACGTGTGGCGGTTTCCCAGCCCGGCCACGCCGAGCCTCGGAAGGGCTAAGACCCTCCCCCTGCCCCGCACAAAGATGGCTACTCCCTCCTCCCCGCTCCTTCTCCCCTCCCCAAAACCCCCTCCCGCCCCCCGGTCCCCGCCGCCGGCTCCGTCACTTCCGCCCCGCCGTGGCCGAAACTGACACAAAGTAGCGGGCCGAGGCCCCGGGGGAGCGGGGCCGCAGCTGGGGGGGCGGGAGCCCGCGGGGAGCCGAGCCGAGCGCCCCCCGCCCCAGCCCCCGGCATGGGCAGTACGGGGCCGCCGGGGCGGGCGCCGAGCGCTGAGCGCTGAGGTGAGGCGAGGCGAGGCGAGGCAAGGCGGGGGCGCCCGGGAGCGCGGGGCCGGGAGGGCAGAGGGAGATGCGGCCGCAGCCGCGGGGCTGGAGGGGCCCGGGAGCGGGTGTAGACAGGGGAGCACCAGGGGCCGAGAGTCGGGAGCTGCGGCCAGACGGGACGGAGGTGGCGGCCGACTGGAGAGGAGGGGCCGTCGGGTGCCCGGGGACAGGGTAGAGCGGGGGGCTGTGTGTGCAGGATGGGAGGATGGAGTGCCGAAGGGGCGCGTGGAGAGCAGGAGAGCGGCGCGAGTGCCAAGGAGAAGCTCGTGCAGCCTCGGCCAGGGGAGACCCGCCCAGAGAGTTGTTGGGCGAGAGGAGTAACCGGGACCCGAGGGTTTGGTGCCTGGAGAAGGGAGTTTGGGCTGGTAGGCTTTGTCTCAGTAAGGTGGAGGTCTCTGCCTAAGGAAAACTGAGGGTGTCAGGAGGGGCGGTAGCTCTGGGACATGATAGCTGTGCTGGGAGCCCTGAGTTCTGTCCTTGGTGAGGGAAGGTGTCCCGAGCTCGTGTTGGTGGCCAGTGAGCTGGGGGTCTCGAGTTCCAGTTCCTCCTGTTTCCCTGACCTGCCAGCCTCCTCTGAAAGAAGTGGCCAACCTTTGGGGCTCTTGCTTGGAAGGGAGCAGGGATCGAACCTATAGGAGGAGCTGTTTTCCTCCATGGAGCATTGCCTGCTTGCCGGGGCTGGCTATTTTTATCCCAAATGTGGCCGAGAGGGGGCTGGGGCTGGGTGACCGGGCAACGTGGCTAATGGGCCTGACCTGCTCAGAAAAAACCCAGGCAGTGTGAGACTGAGAAGGAAAAGTGAGAGGGGATCCCTGTTCCCAGGTTTCTCCTCCCTTCCCCTTGGAATGATGGCCCCCGCAGAGGGGATGAGGTCTGGGGCCAGGCCTGCTTCCAGTCTCCCCAGGGTCTCAGAGGTAAAACAACTTTCCTGGTCCATATCCAGACTCCTGACTCCTGATGGCGTGTGCAGCTCCTACATTAACTCTTTCATGGGACTCAAACTCAGATCTTTAGGCTGATAGTGTTTCTTGATCCCTTCCTCCCCAAGGGCGGGGCTGCCCGTAGAACTTGTGATGTCCACCCTTGCATCCTTTAACCTCTCCCTGTGCTCCCCACCCTCCCGTGACTCATACTCAGACTGGGTGGAGACCCTGGCTGGGGGCCCTGGAGGAGGGCTTGGCATCTCTAAAATATGGATGAGGTTTTTCTTCCTGAGCCAGGCACCCTGGCCTGCCATAGTTGGAGAAGGTCAGGGATGAAAAGGACTTCTGGTTTTCAGGATTGCCTGACCTGGCGTAAGGGCTGGATCTGAGCTAGCACAGGGAGAACTGGTGTGGGTGACTGGGCCATGGGCAGAGTCTGTAATTACAGAGGTTGGCCAGACAGGCAATTAGTATCTCTTGGGGCTGACATGCTGGTGGGGTATGCCTGGTAGGCTAGAGGCAAAGGGAACCAAAGAGAATGAGGAGGTGAAAAGCCTTCCACCCAGAAAAGGAAAGAGGAGGTGACTGGCTGGCAGTTTCCTTTGGGCCAGGCTGGGGAGTAAGGATGAGGCTCTGCTTTGTAAGGCCAGGCCTTGAACCTTTTGGGAGAAAGAAAGGACATGGGAAGGTGGAAGCAGGCAGAGGCCTGTCTCACTGGTGCTCCCTGAGCCTGTATCCTGTGCCATACTGACTGGACTAGGCTTGGGGTGGGATGGAGAGAGGGGCAAACTCCCCACCAGGGTTGGGAAGACCCCTCTGGCAGCCCAGAAGGGTGGCCGACCCAGGCTGAAGGGAAGCTGTTTGGGGACTGTGCAGAGAGTGAGGGCCATGCCTCTAATGTGAGCTACCCTGGAGAAGGTGATGATGGAAGCCCTAGTAATGGGGGTGGGGATGGCAGGGAACTTATAAGCCTTTCGAGAAGGGTGGAGCCTGCCCACCCTGTTTCCTGATGCCCTGCCAGGTGTTTCCTGGCTTATGTTCCCTCCACCCCACCCTTTGGGGAAACTGCTTTCTAGTAAGCACAAGCACTACTCATTGCCACCAGAACACATGAGGACCTCCATTGTCCCTGGGATGGATACCGTGAGAGCTGTGCCCCTTTTATCAATATCTGGCCTCTTCTCCTTTCCCTACAGGCATGGGCTTCTGTAAAGTCTCAGTCCCCCATGTCACCCAAGGGAGGGGCATGATGGGAGGTGGTGGGGGAAGTCCCCTCTTTCCCAGAGACCCATCATGGCAGTAAGAGGAGAGACTGGGAAGAGGAGGCTGGGGGAGGGGCAGGGTCAGAGCTGGAGAAGAAGGTCTTCAAAAGAGGTCTCATGAGGGGAGGGAAGGGTTACCCTCAGCTTCCTGACCTCATTCGTCTGTCACTTCTTGCAGGGTCTCCCATGGGATTGCTGGGACCTTGCTGGGTGAGATGGCACTGTGTGCAAAAAAGCGCCCCCCAGGTAAGACAGGCAAGGAGGGGAGATCCCGGGAACCATCAAGAGTGGGTGTTGTTATGGCTCAGGGAGCAAAAGGAAAAGGGACAACTGGTATGGGTCTGAGGGAGGGTAGCTTACAGCAGTCTCTGCCAAGCTTAGGGGGAACCTAGGAAACCGAATTCTTCCGCTTGATCCCAAAGCTGGGTTATGTGCCAGGACGGCGCTGAGCACCAGCCCTACGCCCCGAAACACCTGCAGTCTTATCGTGGGGCACCTGCAGCTCCTGCTCTCTGGCCCAGGGAGCTGTGTTCTCATCTCTGCTTGGTCCTCTCACCCCCTCCCTGCTCCCCTCATTTTTCCATCTACCAGTCCTGGTTTTTCCGCGGGCGGGGGTGTGTGTGCGTGAAAGCGGTTGCCCCCAACAACGCCGGCAGTCCGCTCACCCGCATTGGCCGGGCCCCCGCATTGGCCGGGCCCGGGGGTGGGAGGGGAGGCGGGGCTCGCGCGCGAGCTTTCGCCTACGCGGCGCGTTGGCAGGCTGCGGCTCCTGCAGTCGGGGAGCGGGCGGGGGCGGAGCCCTGGGCGTGCTCGAGGTGTCCGGGGCCACTCAGCGCACGCTGGCATCCGCCGGGGGGAATGGGGGGCGGCGGCGGCGGCGCAGCTGAGCTCGCGGTGTCCCCGAGCGCCGGCGGCCGGGAGGATGGCCTGGGCTGCGGGTGGGGCGCGCGCCCGACAGCCGGGGCTCCCCTCTGAGCGGCCGTGGCTCCTGCACCTCCCCGGGGGGCCGCCCGGTCGATGCCGCTAAGGCCAAGGACGTATAGACGGTCTGCCCGCCCCCACTCAAACCGGGATCATGACGGTCCCCAAGGAGATGCCCGAGAAGTGGGCCCGGGCCCAGGCGCCTCCCTCTTGGAGCCGAAAGAAGCCCTCCTGGGGGACAGGTAACTGGAGGCAGCACCTGGCAGCTCTCCCGCACCCATTATTTCCCCCCTCCAATCCCTACATTCATTTGTCCCCAGCCTTCCCCTGCCTCCCCTGATCCTCTTTCCAGACCCAGAGATCCTGGCTCCGAAGGATCCAGTCCCTACCTTCTTCCTTTGCATGGTCTTTGGTGATTGCGCAGGGGACTCAGCCCAAGGGAGCCCCTCTAGGGAAGTTTATGGGAGTGAAGTGGCTTGGTAGGCAGGGGGCACTGTGGCCTGGGGTTTTGTTACTGCAGTGTGCTCTGCAGGGGTCCTGGGGTGTGTAGAAAGGGTTCTGGAATGCTGTCTTTGGCTCCTGGACAGGTTTAAGGAATTAGGTTTGCTGCCACCAAGTTACCCCTTTTTGCAGCATGAGGTCATGGTGACCTCCAGGGAGATGGGCTGGGGAATCTATTATAGAACAGCTCCTTACTCTGCGGCATGAATTTGGTGCCTGCAGTCCCAGACCTGCAAAGGTTTGGGATAGTTTTACCTAGATGGGTGTCACTAACTGAGTGACAAATGAGCCCTTTAAAGGGAAATGCGTGCAGATGGTACAAGGAAAGTCCAGTTAGAGCGCAGCTGTTTCCATTACATTTCATTCCTCCCTCCTCCATCTCTATCTCAGTCTGCATGACCCATATCCCTGAAACGCCCCCCCTCCCACTTTTCTACTTGAAGATGAGCTTTGAAATAAGATGATGTCATTGTGGGCCAGTCAGAAGCAGCTGCTGGTGACATGTGACAAGCAGAGGCTCCTGTAGGGGGGACTGCACGTGGGGCTGGGATGCTGCCGCAGAGCAGCTCCAGGGCACAGTGAGCCTCCTTCTTGCCACCTACCCAACCCTCCAAATTAGGGAGACAGCAG